CATGTGTGAAGGAGTACTGTCCAACACAATCAAAGGGGACCTCAAATGATAAACTAAATGTATTTTTAGAAATCTTGCTAAAAAATAACAAAAATGGTAATAATAATTTCCTGGAGCATTGCTGCCCCCAGATGCAGCTCAAATACCCCAAAGTCTTGGTCACATGTTTCTCTGATAGGCTCAGATTATACAGAGATCACGTGATCTAGTCTTTTTTTTGTTAATGACAGCGCTGAAGAAAGCTTACAGCCAAGAAAGGTTAGTATTTCCAGCCATTCTAGTACGGTTCATTTACAGTATCTAACCCAGCAAGACTACCTGCTGCTAACATATCTTAGAGGTATTTCCTAATAGGTCTCTGGAAGAAGAAAGTCAGTTTTTAAGAAATTATATTAATCAATTCAGCATATGTGCTGCTTTTTAAATTTATACAAATATTTAATCTCTTTGAGATCTGAACTTTTAAGATTTGAAGAGGGAAAAAATTACTAATTTTACAGCTCTTAAAGTGTTACTAAACCCATAAAAGTAAAAACAGTCTGCATATGTAGTAAAGCATGTTACATATTATACTCACTGTGGAACCTAAGGGGTTAATATTCCGCATTGTGTAAAAAGGATGTTTGATTATGCCTTCTCCAATCCTCCCCTTCTTCTGCTGTCCATCTGCTGATAGAATAAAACCTTGGGGGCAAGCTGTACATGCTCAGTTTGGTGTGTATTGCTTGAGAGGATTTTTTTTTTTTTTTTTTTCTTGGCAGGGTGCATGTGATCAGCACAGGGCCAAGCAGTGCAGTCCAGACAGAGGGTCAGGGTCATGCAGCCTCACAGGACAGTCAGAGGAGAATGAAAACTTCTCCTACAAGCTTTAGCCAGTGCTCTGCTGGACACTGATAGAAGTCACAAGACTGCACTAATTGCTGATGAGAAAAGGTATTTAGCAGTTTATATTTACTAAATAATTGCACTTCCAGGGTCCTGGGTCAGGGGTCATGCAGCCTCACAGGACAGTCAGAGGAGAATGAAAACTTCTCCTACAAGCTTTAACCAGTGCTCTGCTGGACACTGATAGAAGTTGCAAGACTGCTCTAACTGCTGATGAGAAAAGGTATTTAGCAGTTTATGTTTACTAAACTTGCACTTCCATGTTCTGTGTACTGTGGGAGACTGGATATAGTGAATGCAGGGTCCTGGGTTTAGTAACACTTTAAATATTTAGAGCTCGTTCACAACAGAGCAATGGCAGATGGTGTGCACTGGCAGGAACAGTGTGAATGCACCAATCCTGGAGCATCGCACTGGTTAAATTTTTTTTTTTTTTTTACTTTTTTTGTCCAAAATTAAAGTGATAGTTTATTAAGTTCTATTCACACAGTGGAGCACGCCGGGCTGAATAGCACTACATACACTACTTTTTTTGCTGCAAACCATTACAAGGTGAACTGATTGGCTTTTTGCCTTGTCTTGCACAGGGACTGCACTGGACAAGGTTGCTCAGGACAGTCTCAGCATACTTGGTATGAACGAGCCTAAGTAGTTAATTCCCATCAGAAACATTGACCTACATCTTCCAGCACAGGGATCAGGAAATGCATTGTTTTCAATAGAACGTGTTTACACAAATTCCTCTCATTGCAGTATATCAGATAAAAAGTCCAGAGATGGCAATTTTGCAATCAAGTTAAAGTGTTTGAAAATGACAAAAACAAACTTTTCGGTAGGGTAAAAGTAGAAGAGTGATGGCATAACAAGACCAAGCGGCCCATTGAGTCCGCCCCATTTTTTATTTATTTTGTTGCTTTTTAGTGATTTTTCATTATTTACCTAGTTCAGACCTCGTTCTCAGCGTAGCGCACGTCACAAAAGAAGGCAGCTTCTGTTTCCCGTTCATTGGTCATGTCATATGACAAGGGGTGACAGGAAGAAGGGCAGCTTGCCCTCGCTCTACTGCACTGAGCCACAGGTGTGTTCTCAGCATGTGCCTGCTCTCTTCCACCCACAGCAGGGGCGGACTGACCACTTGAAAACTCAGGCACTGCCCGAGGGCCCGGGGTCAGTAGGGGGCCCCATGAGATGCCCCTGGTACCATTTTCATAGGCTTTTTTGAGTTTGGGCAAGGACACAGGGGCCCCATGATCCCCTATTGCCCGGGGACCCCATGAGTTGTCAGTCCACCCCTGACCCACAGTAGGCTGTGGGTGGCAAAAACCTCCTCCAGCAACACACAAGCCCCTTTGCCCCCTCCCCTTGTCCCAGCCTTTCTAATGACTGTCTCTCTTTAGGATGACAGTCTTTGGAAAACTGCAATTTTGAGTTGCCCTAGTTTATCCTTAACCCCTTCCACATTAGGTTCTCAAAAGAGTTTGATTAAAAGCAAAAAAGTAAATTAAAAAGAAAAAAGTCTGGTCCAGTCAATAAAGTACATTTAAAGGCATTTCCCCCATTTTTAGTCAAAAGTAAAGTTCCACGCAAGCATTTTCTCTATACCTCCACCAAACAATATAAACAATATAATGGGGGGGATTTACTAAAACTGGAAAACTCAGAATCTGGTGCACCTGTGCATGGTAGCCAATCAGCTTCTAACATGAGCTTGTTCAATTAAGCTTTGGCAATAAAACCTGGAAGCCAATTGTTTTTTATGTGGAAGTGAAGCTGATTTTGCATACTCCAGCTTTAGTAAATAAACCCCAATGCTTTCAGCCACCTGCTTAGTTTGTGTTTTTCAGAACATAATTCTGTCTTCATACAGACCCAAGCTCACAGACCTCGGTCTAGTCAATTCAGACTCTCTCCACGTGTCTGTTCACATACCCACACTGCCCACCCACATGTAGCCATTTGCTCTCCTCTGTCTCTCAGGTTCTTAATTTGAGGTTGTATACACCTCCACTATCAGGGTGCTGGTTGTAAGTAAAACATAGACTTAGAAAAGCCTCCAGTTTCCAGAACCATGACCAGGATTTGTCAACCATAAAAAAAAAACAGAACATTCAGTTTTCTCCATATACTGTAGAGCACGCATCCTGGAGCACCTCAATCTGCATGGGTGAGAGTTCTGGGTGACATCAAATCTTCTTTACACTGTGAAATGACACAGTCGATTATATATTGTGAGGAACTAGCTTGCTGGATTTTGGATTAGGATTGTCACCTATACATGCTGAAGGCATCCATGGTTTTCTGCCTACTATAGAGGAAACACATAAGCTCTGGCTGGGTCCGGGTGCCTGGAGACTTTGTAGAGTTTTGGTTCGAATAAAGCCTCCATTCCTAGGTCCACATCTCATTTGTTAGTACTCCAACTAACTATACCACAAAATTCTATCTGTGTAACAGGAATTGTATATATCTTTTTCTACAGTAAAAACATTCTTGTCTCTGCTTCTTATGGATATATTTTGGAACCATCTTGCACATTTTGAAGGTGTAAATTTGTTTCAGTAGGAAAAGTCTTGTTGTTTATAAGTGACTATGCTTATGAGAATAAAAATGGCCACACATTGTAGACTTCTGTCAGGAACATGGTACCAACCTTCAGACTAAGGTGCACTGTTTGGCTAATGCGCTTGTATATAGGCATAGGCACGCACTTTTCTATGAGTATAGAAGATGGACTACACATTCATCATGGCCTACTGCAGCCAAGTGGCCTATTTAAACCTGAACTCTTCAATTGTTCTTCGCTGTATGGTTTTCAGCCTTGTTCCTCTGATCCAGTCTTGATGTGCATCCTTGACCTGTTATTGACCAGCTTTCTCTCTAGCCTTGCTCTTGAATTACTCTTGCCTGCTTATGTTTGTTGTCTGTCTCAGCTACCCCCGCCTGGACTACTAACCATGTTTCTTTCTAGGGGCTCTGTACCTCACTGCCTAATTGTTGCCAGCTTCTGCCTGTTACTGAATCTGATTCTGCTTACCTCCTGGTGTTCTTCCATGTGAGTCTCACTTAACCAGGTGTGGGACCTGACAACACTATCAACAGGACTTAGTGTTTCCAAACATCACCAGCTGCATCTATGCTTGTCAGATACCAATGTTCACAGTCTCTCCAGCTTGGCACCTAGGTGCCTTTCCTTCGCCCCTGCAGCCCCTGTCTCAACATCCAGGGGTGCTCAAAGGGGAACTGAGGAAGAGGCCACCCTCATCATCTCATACTCTGCATGCAGGTACGAGACAACTTCACTCATTCAGCCTCTTGGGATAAGCAGGATTAAGCTATTGATTCTTCCATCCAAGGATGTATCTCCTACTGCTGGCTGTTTTATTCTGACAGCTGGAACCAGCAGCTATCAGGATTCCCAAATAGTTGGTGCATCTCAGTGATGCAGCCACTGTTCAGTTGACAATTTTCTAACCAGCTCCTTTCATTTTCCGATCAAAAGATTTTGGGCCGAAGGTGCCATCAGGGCAACAATTGGCTCAAATTTTGGCCAGTTCACCAGGAACTGGACAAAATTGGCTCTGTGCATGGCCAACTTAAGTCCACAATCTAGTGAGAGCTGTCTCATGCAGTCTTCCATTCAAAGTTAGAAGTTATTTAGGCTGTCAAATGCTTTGTTAGTACCGTATTTTTCGCTCCATAAGACGCACTTTTTTCCCCCCCAAAAAGGAGGGAAAATGTCAATGCGTCTTATGGAGCGAATATGGAGCGGCCGGTCCGGTATTTCCACCGCCGCCGTGTCAGAATACCGGGCCAGCCGCTCAGCTCTGCAGCGGGACCTTATGGAGATGACTGCTGACCTTTGGGGGGGGGGGAGCGGGTACCTGAATTTGACAGGTACCCGCTCTTACTTCCGTAGAGTTGTTCTTTGACCTTACCTGTTCCTCTATCCAGCGGCGCGCTGTCTTCCCGGCTTCTGTAGTGTGGGCGCTCGGCATGACAGCCTGGTGCCAAATGCGCATGCGCAAGAAGTGGTGCTTTTTGTGAATGGGAAGGCGGTACCTGGGACACATGATAGATCCCAGAAGCCGCCGGACCAATCACAAAGCGCAAGTGCTTCTCCCTCATGCGCACTGGCACCCGGCTGTCATGCCGAGCGCCCACACTACAGAAGCCGGGAAGACAGCGCGCGGCTGGATAGAGGAACAGGTAAGATCAAAGAACAACTCCGCAGAAGTAAGAGCGGGTACCTGTCAAATTCAGGTACCCGCTCCCCACCTCCCCAAAGGTCAGTAGTCATCTCCTGTACTGTTCGCAGTCTCTGGTCATCTCCTGTACTGTGTCCGCAGTCTCTGGTCATCTCCTGTGCTGTCCGCAGTCTCTGGTCATCCCTGTGCTGTCCACAGTCTCTGGTCATCTCCTGTACTATGTCCGCAGTCTCTGGTCATCCCTGTGCTGTCCACAGTCTCTGGTCATCCCCTGTATAATGTCTGCAGTCCACTAGTTCAGAATTTTTTTTTTCCTGTTTTCTGCCTCTAAAACCTAGGTGCATCTTATGGTCAGGTGCGTCTTATGGAGCGAAAAATACGGTAATTTCCTTGCTGTTTGCTCAGAGGTAGCAGTTAAAGCTATGACCATCTACAATTCATAAGGTCATTCCTAAAGTAGATTTCCCTTCTTTTATGCATGCCAGTTCCAGGGATGAAGGTTCGGTCTCCTGGGTTGTGTATTGTCTTGAGCTTTTATTGAACTCTTTGAAGCGTGAACGATAGAAAGGCTTAAAAATCTCAACTAATACATTTCTCTGTTCATGAGATTGAACTCTGTGTTCAGTGAAAGCCCACTGCGCTTCGGTTTTTCGTGCCAAATGATCACAGAGTGCTTGTTTTGTCAAAGCGTAAAGGTATTTTCTTGATAATGTAACCTAGTTGCGTTGTCTTCACTATGTTTTCGGGGTTTTTTTTTTCCTGGGTTCTTTTTTTAGTTATAATCATTATTTGAATGGTAATTTGCACCAAAGTGTTGTATGGAGTGAAATCATGTTAAGGATTATTCTACTTATTTTCTCCCATCAAAGCCACCTGGGAAATGGCCATTTATTCTTCTGGAAATAGCTAATTATCTGACTTTTCTGCAATTATCAAGAGCGGAATGAGAATTCCCACAGTGCAGTCTGAATAAAAGTATGCAAATCAATTCTCATTTATTTCTTTAGAAAATCAAAATAGAAATATTAAAATAATAGTAAATCTGTGATGGAATTTTGCCCTTTCATTGTTAGATGAAACTCTAGTCAGCATTTCTTTCTGGCAGTTGTACACGTTTAATAGGGGTTCATATACTACCTGTGGAAAGAACATGGGGCAAGCCACATGGGAGGAAGGGCAGATAGTAATAATGGAATAGGACCTCTTTGCTGGTCACCTGAGCACCTTCTGTAAAAAGACTAAACCTCACTAAAATCTAGCTTGGGCAACTAAAAAAAAATAAGCCCCTAACATATTTAGTTAAAAAGACAACCCTGACATCAATATCCATGTTGTATCTGGTACTATCTCCTGCAGACCCACCATTACAAAGTCCAGTGCTGGTCCACTTGTAGGCAGGTGCAGCTAGCCATCCTACCTGTAGATAGCTCAGTGCCATTATTGCATGGGAAGGGGGGGTCTCATAAGGGGATTGATCCCTTAGTAATTCTATCAAGTGCCTCGAGAGGGGAGCTGATCTGATTAGACACAGAGCTATTGAGGGACTTTGGCAGCTATCTTGGGTAAAGGAACTTTTTTTAAATAAGGGAACCCAGTCTGAGTAAGCAATCATCAGGCCCAAATTCCAACAATATGGTGCATTGAGTATTGGGACATTGGACAGGAACAGGGAAAGCCATCCATATTCTCATTGCACATGTTTGTGGAAAAGGCTCTAGGCTACTGGGGCTGCAGCAACCAACAGCTAGAGACTGGATCATGCATGACACAATGTAGATATTTGCCAGCACACCATGGATCTTCAAATTGAGTCCAAATGGTTTTTATTGAAGTATGATCATTTCACAAACAAGAGAGTGCAACATTTCAGAGTCATGCAGGACCCCTTCATTAGGTACGTGTAACATACTTTAATAAAAACCATTTTGACTCAACTTGATTATCCATGGTGTGCAAGAACATGGAAAGTCCCCCATAGAAGGCTAGAAAGTTTTCCAATTCCTGTTGCGTTTCACAGAACTCGAGCCGCCATGATTGGCCCTGCAATCATCACCCAGGTAAGCAAAAATCAATTTAAAAACAGACAGAGCCAGGTGAAAAATTGTCAGCAGTCCCTGTTGGGCTGGTCCATTGTATTCAGGCAGCCATGAGTGCCATGACTGCTTGAATACAATAGCCAGCAGCTGAGATTTTTTTAAAAAAATTTGAATATATTTTTTAACACACGTTTACTTTACTCACTAGGACCCTATATCAAAGTGTACCACAACTCTAGTATAACAAGTGTCGAACTCCCTCAGGACGAGGTGTCATCAGGCGGTGATCTGCTAGGCTCACAGGACCTCCTTGGGATCAGGATTAAAAAACGGCCAGGTGAGGGCTCCCTCCTCCAGATATAGCTGTGTCTGCCAGTCTGATAACCCCTCAATAAGGGGTAAAAAACGGGAGAATGCCCATAGTGTAGTATATCAAAAGTTTATTATATAACACATATAACAGGACAGGTCAGTATTCAAACTGGCAAACAGCCAGAAAGTGCAAGGTGAAAAGTACTGGTACTGACCTAGAGTAAAATGGCCACCAGACCTCCTCGTGGTCTGGGCGGCGATGAGGCGTCACAAGCTGTCAGTTCCTCCTGAGGCCTTTCGTGCTAAAGCACATCTTCAGAGGGGAGGCTGACAGCTTTGTGACAGACGCCAGATTCTGAAATAGCAGGCAGCGGGAGTCGCGCATGCGCACAAACTCACCGCCATTTTCGAGTGGACCGGGCAACTGCGCATGCACGCGCGCCTAGACGCCATTTTGCCGTGGATATAGGAACTGTCAGCAGAGATACATACATACAATACATACAGCTGTCAGGGCACACTGAAAGGTGCTTTTGAGCCGAGAGTAGTGGCTCATGATCCCAGGGGATAAGCAAAAATGATCAGTCCGGTATTACAGCGGAAAATATAGTGCCAGAACCCCTTGACAAGTGATTTTATCACCAAGAATGGTGATTCATAGGGAAGATAATGCTAACTTATCCACGGCATATGGAGGTGCTCCGGATACATAAATCCACATTTAAACATATATACATAATATGAAATATAGAATAAAATGTGGTCAAAGGTTAATAATGGTGTGTCCTAAAAAATAGAGGAAAATCCTTATATATAATTACATCAATGACCAATCTGGAGTTGGAAGTCACATATATGTGTGAAACCACTGCCATTATCTGAGAGACCAGATAATCCAAACAATCTTTATATTTCAAAACACCATATTTGCCAAAGATATTGGTGGTTAAAAATAGCTGCACCCAGCAATCAAAGCACACAGCACAAATAATTGCCATAATTGATAGCTCTTAATCCTAGATGGGTGATCAAAATTACCATAGCCGGTCCTGATATTCAATCCTTCATTATCAGAATTAATACCGATTTATCCATGGCATATAAAGGTGCTAAAAGTGCAACAATCCGTACCAAGAGTATAAATACTTGAGTAATAAAAAGCACATAAATGGATATAGGTATATATGTTGATATATAAAATCATAAATGATATGACCAGGTACACTAAAATAATGTTTCATAAAATATAGACTAGGATAGCATGAAATGCACAAAATGAATAGAATAGCATAAAATTACATATAATAACATAGGAGCGTCAAAGGCTTAATATAACATTCATATATGTCAATCTGGAATGAATAATCAATAAAAGGACTTCTCAATAAAAGCATAGGAACCTAACTGTTAGCTATAAAGCAATTAACGTCAATCTCAATATTTTTTTTTTTTTTTATAATTTAAATATTTATTAAGTTTTTCATGTTAATACAAAAACCCAAAAAAGGGAAATAATTCTCATACAAATAGACATTTATAACATTTCTACCTTTCCCTTGCTAAAAAAAACTCTTTTCTTTCCCATCCCACTACCCCCCCTTCCCGCCCCTCATCCCCCCTCCTCCCCCTCTGCAGACTCTAGCCCATTCTACTCTCTTGAGGCTTATTAATTTTTTGCTAACACCCTAGTTCATATTTTCCTATATTTCTCTTTCAATCCTGCTCTTTCCCACTTTTCCCATCTCCTAAAATAAGCTCTCATCCTATCTTCCTGCATATGATATGAGCTTTCCATTCTACCTATCTGGTTTACTCTATTAATCCAGTCTTCCTCCTTCGGTACCTCAGCTTTCCGCCAAAACTTGGGTATCAACCCTTTCGCCGCATTCAAGAAGTACCAAATACCTGAATCTTTATATTTATTTACAGATGTCTCCACGTTGTGTAGGAGGCACGTCGTTGGGTCTAACCCTATGTCAATTTCAGTTATTTCTTTAATCAATTTGACTATTATCTTCCAAAAAGCCTGGATTTTCGGACATTCCCACCATATGTGAAACACCGTGCCCATCTCTCCACATCCTCTCCAACACATGTTTGAGTTTTCCCCATTCATCTTGTGCTCTACACTTGGTGTAATGTGCCATCGTGTCACACACTTATAATTAACCTCAACCTCTCTCATACTAACATTATCGTGTATCAATCTAAACATCTTTCTCTGTCTATCTTCATCAAGCCCAACACCCATATCTCTTTCCCATTTTGTGATAAAAATTAACTTTTGTGTTTGTGTCTAATTCTGTGAGTATTCTATACACTTTTGAAATACCGTGCTTCCCATCCCTTCGTGTCTCTAACAACCTTTCGAACATATTCCACTCCTGTTTTATTCTCAGGGGTTTCGGTAGATTTCCAATAAAACATTTCAATTGATGATATTTCCACTCATCTATTCTAATAAAAATATTTCCTTCTTCTTCTCTATTAAATCTTTAAGTGGTCTCAATTCCCCCTCCACCAAAACATCTCTCAGTTGGGTATCCTCCTTTCTCAGAAAAAACCATCTCCCTGATATCTTATTTCTTTCCCGGGGGAAAGTACTCAGTATTTGTGAGAGGCATTAATATAGAATTAAATTCCCATTTCATGTTTTTGTGTAAATTGTCCCATACCCTAAGAACATTTAAAGTGTAGATACTTGTGCTTTCTTTAATTCCCCTAAATTGTGGTGGAACCCATATCATCTGACTCAATCTAATGCCACTAAGATCATTTTCAATTGTTACCCAACTTTTTCCCTTATGGTTAAATGTCCAGTCATATATTCTTGCTAAAACCACTGCCTTATAGTATCTCTTGACATCTGGTAGACCCAATCCCCCTTTCTCTTTAGTCCTACTCAATGTTTCATATGCTATTCTGGGTTTTTTATTCTTCCATATGTATCTTGTTAACATTTTTTTTCATTATCTTAAAGAAGGCTTCTGGAATTTTAATTGGTACCATTTGAAATCTATACAGTATTTTAGGCATAATTACCATTTTGACTAGGTT